GGCCATGCACAGGTTGGTGTGTTGAGTGGTTGAGTGGAGAAGAGCTGGTTAATCCTTCTGGATTCATTCTCCCTTGTGTATCTCTTTAGGCGGCTGGCCAAGGCTTGGAGCCTCTGTTTGGCAGTTTCAAGTGCTTCAGGTATGGGCATCTGCCTGTACTTTCTGGGTACTGGTCTTTTCATTGCACCCTTGTGGAGCTCTGACAGTTGGCTCACTTCCCTCCTTGTTACCTTGATTTTAGCCTCTAACCGTCTTTTCCATGGTGGGTATTGGGTCTCATGGTTGCCCTTATAGCCAAGCATCTCAAGGATCACTGATGCCGAGTTGTAGATCAGCTCATTGGTTTCTGTTATGGTGTTGGTAGGGATCGTTCTCAATGCTGCATTCACATTCTCAATGAGACTTTCTGATGGTATTTCACTCAGCCGTTGTAATTGGCACCGAGGACATATAAATATATACATACACACATACAGATATACACACATATACATATATATATATGTATATAAATACATACACACACACACATATACATATACATATACATATATATGTATATAAATACATACACACACATTCACACACACACACACACACACACACACACACACATATATATATATATATATATATATATATATATATATATATATATATATATATATATATATATATATATATATATATATACACACACATATATGTATATGTATATATATATATATATATACATATACATATACATATATGTATATGTATATATGTATATATACCCGCAGTACCTAACACCATAAATAGTTCATATTGAATGGAATGTTGGTTAAGGCTTGCATTAACAACCCAAAGCTGTACAATAAAAATATAAATGTACAATTGAATTTATGTATATATATATACATATATACATATACATATACATATATGTATATGTATATGTATATATGTATATATATACATATTTTACTATACATACATGTTTAGTAAAATATATATGTGTATATATATGTACGTAAAATATGTATGAAAAATGTAATGTTTTCATACAGTTGTTGGTAATTACAAGGCTTATTTTTGTTTTTATTTAAATCAGTTTTATGAGTCAGAAACAGCAAAACCACAAGAAACCTGAAAGAAAATGTTGCTAATCTCAAGGATTAGCAACATTTTCAGTCTAGAAACAAAACTGAACCAGTCATTGACAGCATTTTCTTGGGTTGCTGCCAGTCTGTCCCTCGTGTCAAGACTGACTAATCTTTCTCTGGTTGGTCCAACCTGTTGTCCTCTGGTTGGTCCAACCTGCGGTCCTCTGGTTGGTCCAACCTGCGGTCCTCTGGTTGGTCCAACCTGTGGTCCTCTGATTGGTCCAACCTGCGGTCCTCTGGTTGGTCCAACCTGTGGTCCTCTGGTTGGTCCAACCTGCGGTCCTCTGGTTGGTCCAACCTGCGGTCCTCTGGTTGGTCCAACCTGTGGTCCTCTGGTTGGTCCAACCTGTGGTCCTCTGGTTGGTCCAACCTGTGGTCCTCTGGTTGGTCCAACCTGCGGTGCTGTTGCTGCCAGTGAAAAAAGCAGAGCTTACCTCTACCACAGTAGAAACAGTCAGCTGGATTACGGGGAACATATATTCCCATATCTCGAAGAGTTTCGCGAAGGAAGCGATCCATCGGTCTGCTGCGTCTCACTGTGAGGTCCTGTTCTGCCCAGTGGAAGAAGCAGAACCAACCATCTCCACAGTATGAACAATCAGCTTGTTTGGGAATATAAATGCCCATGTCTCGAAGACTATCGGTCACAAAGCGATTCATTTTTCAGAGGATTTCTACCAGATTTCTGTTTGTGCTTCTCTGATAAACAGATTCCACAAAAATGGAAGAGTTGGAACACTGACTGCCTGTTATCTCACAGCTAATCAAAGCAGTTTGACGTTACCTAGCAACATCAAACTCTTGGTGTAATTTCAAAATAAGAGCATTTTAAACTGAACGTATTTGATCTGACACAATCAACTGATTCAGCTCAGGAAGAAAATGATTTGCAGTGTGTCGGAATAATTGCTGACCTTCCTAAATAGCTAAGTTACAGTTGAACTAAATGAAATTAGCAGGCAGGTTAAGTCCATGATGTATGCTGACAGATCTGGTTCACTGTTAGTGTTTTCCACCTGAGACTCCTGAGGAAATGATGTTAGAACAGTTTTCTAAAAGATACACCATTATTTTAGGAAGCCTTTTGAATATAATCTTCAGGTTTACGAATTAGACATACCATTCATTAAACTCATTATTTGGTGTTATAATAATCCAGTCACAGAGATTATAGAACATCTTCTTCAAGAGATCAAAAACTTTCCAATTGTTGTTTAGTAAAACAACATTTTTGTTTTACTAAAACAGAGAGATTAGAAATTCATAGAAGTTAAAGACTCGAGCAGCAGGTACTTGTATATATCTTGTATACAAGTACAAATGTATTTGTATACAATCCACAACTTGAGATCTACTGTACTACACCTCCATTAGTTCTCCACCAGATGGCGTTGGGGATCTCGGTTGGGGGATCATTATCACTCCAACAGTAAAGTGTTAACCTTGTGGTAACCCCCAGCCTCCTAGAGTGTCTTGCTTTCCTTTTAGTGATCACTAGTTTTTTTGTGATTACCTGCTGAAGTCTCCCAGATGGAAGCCTGGACCCCGGCTCTTGTCATTTTCCAGAACCACATCAGATCAGTTGCTGTAGACGAAACGTCTGGACAAGTTCCTTTCTGGCTGGGAAGCCTGGATCGTCTCAATCCTGTTGTTACTGAACACCTTGCAGCTTGAAGTTTATATTACGCAAAGAAAATAAAGAATCCTGCATGACACTGGAGTGTCATCAGCCTTTATGTTGTGATAAATTAAACTGCCTTTCTGACTGAAACCTTCCACAGGTCACACGTGACAAAGGCTTCTAACGTGTGTGAGTCCTCATGTGATAACGTAAATTAGATTTGCCTCTGAAACTTTTTCCACAAGTGGCACAAGAGAAGGGTCTCTCACCTGTGTGAATTCTTATGTGATAAGTTAAATTCCTTTTTTTACTGTAACTCTTTCCACAGGTCACACATGAGAAGTGTTTCTCAGCCGTGTGTGTTGTCATGTGAGTAGTTAGGATAGTCATGTTAGTAGTTACAGGATAAAACATTTCCCACAAGTATTACAGCTGAAAGGCCTCTCACCCATGTGACCTTTGACATGTATGGCTAAACCACCTTTTTGAGCAAAACCTTTCCCACAGATTACACATAAGTAAGGCTTCTTCTCTGTGTGAATTCTCAAGTGAATGGCTAAAGTATGTTTATAGGCAAACCTTTTTTCACAGGTTGTGCATGAGAAAGGCTTCTCACCTGTGTGAATTCTCATATGAATGTTTAAACAAGACTTGGTAAGGAATCGTTTTCCGCAAGCAGTGCATGACAGAGGCTCCTCTCCGGTATGACCTTTCATGTGAAAGAAAACACAATTATACACTGTCATAACTTAATTTATTGTGGAAAACAGAGTGCTATTAAAGTGATCGGTCAGAGGAAAAGATAATTTAAACTATTAATACATTTAAATGAAGACTTGCAAATAAAAGTAATTCTTCATTTACACATAAATGTGAAATCCCACATTCAAGCAAACATCAAACCAACAAAAAACAACAAATGTAACAGAAATGTAGGTGAGATGTCAGATTAATGGTCGTTACCATTTGACTTGTGCGCCACATCATATAGTACAGTATCGTTATGCTTTTAGTCCAGTGTATATCATACAGCATTCTGAGATACCTGTGCAGCAACGGTACATAAAGTAGATTCAGAAAACATTTTCTCAAAGTACAAATCATTTCTGACTCTACCAGTGCAAAAAGTAACAGCTAACATGTATCCACTAACCAAAATCATGAAAATAAAACAAAGTATAAGGTCAACAAAGTTTGAACACAAGTCCAAAAGTTTAAATCTAAAAATGTTTAAATGGATTTTTCATGTAAGCCACTACAAATATCACTTGTAAAAAAAAATTCATATAAAAGAACTAATTTAATGTAGTTGTTACAAAGATCTTTAGATGCTTTACTTAAAAATCACTTTTAATAATATGGTTACAGTTAGTGACTATGGCAATCACTGAAAAATCCATCAATATTTTTAGCAAATCAACATTTATTGATAAGAATATTCTGCGGGGTTAAGAGGGGCCCACGTTTGGAGGCCTGAGGCCGTCACAGGTTCGACACCCGGACCCGCGACATTTACTGCACGTCTTTCTCTTTCCTGTCAGCCTCCTTTTCACAATAAAACAAAAAAAGGTAGAAAAAGAAATATTTAAAAAAAAAATAAGCAGGGTTTCCCCCAGTATGTTTTAAGGCTGGTGGCCTGCCATGCTTTACTTGACCCCTCCCCCAACTCGACCACCTCAGTGACCCAGACGACTGGGCAGAGCAAATTTTCTGGGTCAAACCCGGATTCTGCAAAAAGAAAAATACTGGTACAAAGTTTAAGATCTGTTGAACATGTGCAAACCTTTATTTGTACAAACACTTACTCATAGCAAATTATAACAATGACTTGTGTGAAAAACATTTGGGAAAATAAAAACCTCTCTGTGGTTTGACCTAAATAAAAATCTGACCAGATCTCAATTATATTATCATTTTTAAATAAACATGACAGTTCTATTTACAGGAAAAAAATAACATTTCAATGGTTTAATATGTAAAGAATTTCACATGAAGTCACAGACGGAAATGCCAAAAATGTAAAAGCTGAACTCAGTTATTCTACATTGTACAGAACTCCATGAAAACTAAAATGCACAGAAATGAATACTGTCGGAATGTGTTCCCCTCTTTAACTTCAGCATCTAAGGGATACTGATGTGGATCTTCAGTACAAATATGACAGACGTAAAAAAAAAACAAAACAATTACAGAAAAAAGCTGGTCCACAAAAGTAGACCTTAGCTTACATGTGTCTTGGTTTGGAAGTGAAAGACACAGATACAATGAAACAAAAGTAAACGGCAAGGCCCTGCTGACATTAATGTTTTTTAGTTTTTTAAATTTTTGCCCTTGCTGACTTTTTAAATCCCACTAGATTTTCCATTGGATCAGATGCAAAAGGATAGGCTCTGTTTCGAGCCAAAGTGTTCTACTCTGTGTGAATCTTCATGTGATAAGTTAAACTACTTCTACGTCTGAAACTCTTTCCACAAGTCCCACAAGAGAAAGGCTTCTCACCTGTGTGAATTCTGATGTGACAAATTAAACTCTGTCTTTGAATGTAACTCTTTCCACAGGTCCCACAAGAGAAAGGCTTCTCACCTGTGTGAATTCTCATGTGAGTAGTTAAATACTTTCTTATACTGTAACTCTTTCCACAGATTCCACAAGAGAAAGGAGTCACACCTGTGTGAATGCTCATATGATGAGTTAAACTTTGTCTATGATTGTAACTTTTTCCACAGGTCCCACAAGAGAAAGGCTTCTCACCTGTGTGAATTTTGATATGAGCAATTAAAGTGTCTTTTCGAGTAAAACTTTTTCCAGGTACCACAAGAGAAAGGCTTCTCACCTTTGTGAATTCTCATGTGAACAGTTAAAGTGTATTTTCGAGGAAAACTTTTTCCACAGGTCCAACATGAAAAAGGCTTCTCGCCTGTGTGAATTCTCACGTGACAAGTTAAAAGCTTTCTTACACTGTAACTCTTTCCACAGATCAAACAAGAGAAAGGTTTCTCACCAGTGTGAATTTTTACATGAGTATTTAAATTGCTTCTGTTGGTGAAATGTTTTTCACAAGTCCCACACGAGAAACGTTTCTCACCTGTGTGAATTCTCATGTGCTGAATTAAAGTCCCTCTTTCACTGAAACTCTTTCCACATGTCATACAGGAGAAAGGCTTCTCACTTGTGTGAATTCTCATGTGTCTCTTTAAATAGTTGGTGTCATGGAAACCTTTTCCACAGGTTACACATATGGCCAGATTTTCTCCTGTGTGAATCTTCATGTGACGGATTAAACCATGTTTTTGTCTGTAACTTTTCCCACAGGTTGAACAAGTGAAAGGTTTTACTCCTGTGTGAGTTCTCATGTGTCTCTTCAAGTTACCGTTTAGAGAAAAGGTTTTATCACAAATTTTACAGGAATATAATTTTTGCCCTTGCTGAGCTTTCTTTTGCTTTTTTTGTTTTTCAGTGTCAGTTCTGTCTTTCTGCTGTTTGGTTTTCTCATATCTCTCCTTTTGTTTCTGTTCTTCCTTTCTCTTTTTTCCTGGGTCTTCAGAATTGCTTCCTTCCTGATCCTGGTTCTCAGTTTCTGCAGAGCCATGAGGGATGAGTTGGTTCCTCTGTGGTTCTGTTTCATTGAGAACCTCCTCCTCTTCACTGCATTGTGAGAGATCTGGACAAAAAGAACAAACAATATTAATCAAACAATAAATTCTTCACTTTAACCTCAAAGTATCAAAACATGATTTTCTTCGGTTAATCTATCATTACAGTCTTACAAAAATGAACAATATTTCAATCAATGAGGTTCTTCTGACCAGAATAGAACTAGATGCGAGTCAAAATATAATATTATGGATCTCCAGGTGAGCAAACAAGATGGCGGTAACTTAATCCAGAGGCTTCCTGACTAATGTTAGAAAAGGTTTTCTTCCTCCAAGTAGCTACAGAATATATATCACGTTAAAGAATGACAAAATGCCTGACGTGAAACACTTAATGGTATTGTCATCTCACCCACTGATATTGTCAGACATTGCTCCACTCACACACTCAACACAAACTTTCAAAAGAACAACTAAATCTCAGCCTTTACTTTCCTGTGATTCACAGCAGAACTGATAACAGTGGGTGATTGTTGTTAATCGCACACATGCAGAAAATAATGGCAAAATGAACCAATGGAAAATATTTGACATGAATATTGGACAATTTGGAAGATTAAATATAAAAGGTGAAAATGATATAATTACATAAAGAGTTTATTTAATACACAATTATTAAATATGTCATTACATTATTAAAATAGAAACTTAGCAGCCAGTCAAGACAATTATTAAATATGCTTTTGATTGCTCTGTTCATTATTATCATCGCCTGGTTCCAGTTCCTGCAGTGTCACCATAAAATAATTCCCCAATCAAAGTGGAGGGCGGGGCTGTGGGCGGGGCTAACACTGACCTTTAACATAAATTTGAGCCGTTATTCTGTCAGAATATCTGACATGCATTGAGTACAAATGCGCATTAAGAGGTGCTGTCAGTTCAGCATCTGTGACAAGATACAAGAGAAAGTCAATAAATAGATTTATTGATGATGGATTGATATAAATGCATTGTCATGGTTTCACAGTGTAATTGACTGCAGTCCACTATGAAACCTGCCTCCTGTTCCTTGATGATGGTCTGACTGGTTAACCGCCAAGTCAGGATGTCATACAGCTGTTGACTAATTTTATGACTATCTCTCTTCTATGTCATGATGTTATGTTGCTGATTTAATACAAGCAGGTTTTCACCAGAGAAATCCTTTTCACCTGTGAGAATCTTCATGTGATAAATCAACTATTCTTTTCACTGAAACTTTTTCCACGTTAAAAATGTGAAAGACTTCTTGTGTGATCAAGCAACCGTTTAGAGAGAAGGTTTAATCATAAACTTTACAAGAATATAACTTTTGGACTCTGTGAATTTTCAAGAGCCTTTTTTGGTTTGAACAATCAGTTTTACCTTTCTGGCATCTTTTGTTGTGTTTTTGTTTTTCGTCTTTCTGTTCTCCTGGATCTTCAGAATTGCTTCCTTCCTGATCCTGGTTCTCATCCTCAGCAGAGCCATGAGAGATGAGTTGGTTCCTCTGTGGTTCTGTTTCATTGTAGATTATTTGCACATTTAGAGGATTCACCAAAATGTCATCAGTCTCCAGTTTCAACACCAGATGCTCTTCATCCTGACTGATGCAGAGTTGCTTCTCTTCCTCTTTCAACTCTTGATGTTCCGGTTCCTCTTGTTCCTGTTTTATCTGCAGAGGTTCTGGTTCCTCTTGCTCCTGTTTTATCTGCAGAGGTTCTGGTTCCTCTTGTTCCTGTTTTATCTGCAGAGGTTCTGGTTCCTCTTGTTCCTGTTTTATCTGCAGAGGTTCTGGTTCCTCTTGCTCCTGTTTTATCTGCAGAGGTTCTGGTTCCTCTTGTTCCAGTTTCATCTGCAGAGGTTCTGGTTCCTCTTGCTCCTGTTTTATCTGCAGAGGTTCTGGTTCTTCTTTATCTGAAGTGGACTTCCTCTCCTGGATGCTGAATTTATTTAGATCCTCCTCCTCTTTACACACCCAGCACTGTGGCAGATCTGCACAAAAACACAAAATAAGGAAGTCTTCATTTTAATCACTTAAAGCCTTCTCAAAAAATTCAAAGACTAAAATTACAAATTAATCAATTAACTTGAAAGGATCAATAAATCAGTCAAAACATACTATGGATCTCCAGGCGAGAAAGCAAGATGGCGTTAATTAAACCAAGTGGCTCCACGACAAAAAAAGTTTAAACAGCAGCTTGATTTAGTGCTGTTCTTATACATAATTCGAAGATGAAAACATTTAATGCATAGAGCAGCTTGTTTTCTAATGCGCATCACAAAAGAAAATGAACATTTAAACCCTGTAAGTTAGGATCGCCACCATCGCTGTATATATTAGGAATTCTAAATTGACATTAGTATCCAAAAAAGACCAGTGACATCTAACCATTTACTAACAACCTTGACCCTAGTGGGGTCAGGAGGTGCTGGGGTCACCCTGGACAGGTCGCCAGTCTGTCGCAGGGCGACTCAGAGACAGTGCAATAATATTAGCCTGCATGATCTTTTCCTCTCAGGTTAGGGCTCTGCTTTGCTGCACAAGCATCAGCCTTTTCCCTCCAATAAGCTTCTAGCTATTTTTATTACTTATTAGCCATGTTTAGGACCCTGAATGCAGGAAGTCAATGTAAGACAACATTGTAATGTTGCCCCACATGCTACTAGCAGCATTTAGGCTAACATTAGCATTTTGGCTCATTTTAGATTATACACTAATTTTAACAAACTGAATGGAGGAAGTCCATGTTAGTCAACATGCTTGTGACTTTCCACAAGCTATTGACTACAATTTAGCTTAGCTTAGCATTGATGCTAATTGTTAGCATCAGAGCGCTGATGGGCCACACTTTAGCAGGCCCGGTTACATTTATCCAGGGATTTTCTGTTTCTATTTAATTTAAGCGGATTCTTAAAATAGGTTTCCGAACACAACGATTATTTATCTGTAAAAACTCTCTTTAACCTCACTAATCAGTAAACCGTGAAGCTGTTTCGTACCTATCCGGTGCAAGATGATCTTGGGTATCCGGGTAAAATCCATCAGTCTGCGCTGATCGTCCATCTCTTCCTCCATCTTAACGTTGATTTCTTTCCACTCTGTGAATGTTTCTTCAGCAGGAGTTTCCTGCTGCTTGATAAACTCTCTGAGTCTGAACTGAAGACATTTTCACTGAAAACACCAAACCTGTTTTCAAACCGTCCTCTAACAAAGGAACAGCTAATGCTCCCTCGTGCGCTCTGAGATGGTTCCTGTGTTTCACTTTTATTGCACTGAAGAAACTGTAAACAATTTTTTGTTCCTCTTTGAGTTTCCTCTAATTATATTGAATATTTATATTAATAAAAGGATAATATTTCAGTGAGTGAAACACAGTATTAAAGTAATTCCACAAACACATGGAGGTTTCCAAGCCTTTCATTTCTGTTAATTATGAGCATTTTCTCCAGATCATTGAAGAAGAGCATTTATTTTTAGAACATTACATCATTCGGACTAATGGAAAGAAAATTAAGAAATGTGAGCTGGAGACAGTTAACAAAAGATATTTATTCTTAAATCAGATTCATATTGGAACATCGAATGAAATATTATGAGTATGATCTTTTAAGTTTATAAAACAATCTAATGTTATATCAGATTGTAGGTTATGATTCAGTTTTAAAGTTTAACACTGAATGACTACATATATTTGAGAGGAATATGGTTACATTTTTTTGACTTGAAAATATTAATAACTGAGTCTTGTGAAAAAAGATACATATAATGTTATGTACCTACATAAAGAAGTGAAAACATAAAACTCACTTTAGAGACGAGATAGAAGAAGACACATAACTTTAATTAAAACCACAAAGTCATTATTTTGCTTGTATCATCATACATGTACCTGAACAAAGAGATGTTATTAATCATTCATTTAAAAACATACAAAGAAAATATGTTAGAAATTTAAAATAACAGAGGAAAACATTGTGATGCCTCCCAAAGGAGCAAAAAGTGTTTCACTGAATCTGATCCCTGCTAAGAATCAAGTCACTTTGCAGCTGTATAAAAATACCAACGTACTGTAATAATCCTGGTTTCCTGTTGCAGAACCTAAACATCTTTTACAACTAATCTGGTTCTGGTCTGCCTGGGTGCTTCACTTTATGCACCTGTACCATGAAAGGGATTGGATCACCTGAGTCTGATCATTACAATGGGTGAGAAAATATTTTGATAATGTAGAGCATGTACATACAAACACATTTTAACAATGACTTCTGTGAAACAAATATTTGGTAAAAGGAAAATCTCTCTGCTGTTAGCTCTAAATCAAATCTGAACAGATCTCAATAATATTTGAGTTTTTTTCTTTCAAACATCACAGAGTTGACCTGGATGCTGCATGTGACCTGCAGCATCCAGGTCACATGCTTCAGACATGTGACCTGGATGCTGCAAGAAATTCAGATGGGGGTCAGGAAAAGACTGAACGGCTGGATAGATTATAATTGTTAGCATGAAGGTCCCACTGAATAAACACATTATCTGTCCAGGACTCAGCACTAAGTTAGATGCTAACAACATTAGCACTCTGGGGATTACCAAGCTAGGATGTAAAAACAATACGCGTTGCCTTACATATGAACAGGGCCGTACAGAGACAGTTGAAGGGGTAGGGGCTTAACGTTAAAAAGGGGAACATTGAACAACATCTTAAAACAGCAACATAACAACAACCCATAATACCTACATTTCTAAGTTTCAATGAGTTAACACAGCCAGGAATGACATGTAAAAGAATGGTCTTTTTGCCCTCCAGCGTTGCATGAATGCGCAAAATTTCTCTTCGTAAACAATAACATGCATGGTGTCTAAATTTATACGTCATGAGGCATTGCCTCACCAGCTATGAACCTCACCGCATGTCACTGTTTAGCACTCATATGAATCTTTATGTGTTTAAGTAATTGTTTTTTCATTCTGAAACTTTTTCCACAGGTCCCACATGAGAAAGGCTTCTCACCTGTGTGAATTCTCATGTGAACATTGAAACTGCATTTAGTGGTGAAACGTTTTCCACAGGTCCCACATGAAAATGTTTTTTCACCTGTGTGAATTCTCATGTGAACATTTAAACTTCCTTTATTGGTGAAACTTTTTCCACAGGTCCCACATGAGAAAGGCTTCTCACCTGTGTGAATTGTCATGTGAACATTTAAATTATTTTTTGACAAAAGCTTTTTCCACAGGTCCCACATGAGAAAGGCTTCTCACCTATGTGAATTCTCATGTGAACATTTAAAGTTTCTTTATGGCTGAAACTTTTTCCACAAGTCCCACAAAGTAAAGGCTTCTCACCTGAGTGAATTCTCATATGACAATTTAATTTATATTTTTCAGAGAAACTTTTTCCACAGGTTCCACATGAGAAAGGCTTCTCACCTGTGTGAATTCTCATGTGATTACTTAAAGTCGCTTTGTAACTGAAACTCTTTCCACAAGTCCCACAGGTGAAAGGCTCCTCACCTGTGTGAATTCTCATATGAACATTTAATTGACATTTTATGAAGAAACTTTTTCCACAGGTTCCACATGAGAAAGGCTTCTCACCTTTGTGAATTCTCATATGAACATTTAAAGAATCTTTTTTGAAGAAACTTTTTCCACAAGTTCCACATGAGAAAGGCTTCTCACCAGTGTGAATTCTCATGTGATTACATAAAGTCCCTTTGTAACTGTAACTCTTTCCACAAGTCCCACAGGTGAAAGGTTTCTCACCTGTGTGTATTCTCATATGACAATTTAATTTATATTTTTCAGAAAACATTTTCCACAGGTTCCACATGAGAAAGGCTTCTCACCTGTGTGAATTCTCATGTGATTACTTAAAGTCGCTTTGTAACTGAAACTCTTTCCACAAGTCCCACAGGTGAAAGGCTCCTCACCTGTGTGAATTCTCATGTGATTACTTAAAGTCGCTTTGTAACTGAAACTCTTTCCACAAGTCCCACAGGTGAAAGGCTCCTCACCTGTGTGAATTCTCATATGAACATTTAATTGACATTTTATGAAGAAACTTTTTCCACAGGTTCCACATGAGAAAGGCTTCTCACCTTTGTGAATTCTCATATGAACATTTAAAGAATCTTTTTGAAGAAACTTTTTCCACAAGTTCCACATGAGAAAGGCTTCTCACCTGTGTGTATTCTCATATGAACATTTAAATCCCTGTTTATGGAGAAACTTTTTCCACAAGTTCCACATGAGAAAGGCTTCTCACCTTTGTGAATTCTCATATGAACATTTAAATCACTTTTTATGAAGAAACGTTTTCCACAGGTTCCACATGAAAAAGGCTTCTCATCTGTGTGAATTCTCATGTGAACGTTTAAATGAATTTTTTGACAGAAGCTTTTTCCACAGGTTCCACAAGAGAAAGGCTTCTCACCAGTGTGAATTCTCATATGAACATTTAAATCACTTTTTATGAAGAAACTTTTTCCACAGGTTCCACAAGAGAAAGGCTTCTCACCTGTGTGAATTCTCATGTGAACATTTAATTGATTTTTTTGACAGAAACTTTTTCCACAGGTTCCACATGAGAAAGGCTTCTCATCTGTGTGAATTCTCATGTGAACGTTTAAATGATTTTTTTGACAGAAGCTTTTTCCACAAGTTCCACATGAGAAAGGCTTCTCTCCTGTGTGAATTGTCATGTGATTAGACAAAGTCCGTTTGTAACGGTAACTCTTTCCACAAGTCCCACAGGTGAAAGGCTTCTCACCTGTGTGAATTCTCATATGAACATTTAAAGAACTTTTTATGAAGAAACTTTTTCCACAGGTTCCACAAGAGAAAGGCTTCTCACCTGTGTGAATTCTCATATGAACATTTAAATCACTTTTTATGAAGAAACTTTTTCCACAGGTTCCACAAGAGAAAGGCTTCTCACCTGTGTGAATTCTCATGTGATACATTAAACCATCCTTTTGTCTGTAACTTTTCCCACAGGTTGAACAAGTGAAAGGTTTTACTCCTGTGTGAGTTATCATGTGTCTGTTCAAGTTACCGTTTAGAGAAAAAGTTTTATCACAAACTTTACAAGTATATGATTTTTGCACTCTGTGAGCTGTCTTGTGCTTTTTTTGTTTCTGTTCTTCCTTTCTCTTTTTTCCTGGGTCTTCAGAATTGCTTCCTTCCTGATCCTGGTTCTCAGTTTCTGCAGAGCCATGAGGGATGAGTTGCTTCCTCTGTGCTTCTGTTTCATTGAGAACCTCCTCCTCTTCACTGCATTGTGAGAGATCTGGACAAAAAGAAAAAACAAAAGCTTTTAAATGTCAATCAAACAAGAAATTCTTCACTTTAACCTCACTGTATCAAAACAGGATTTTCTTGGGTTCTTCTAAACTTACAGTCTTACAAAAATGAACAATATTTCAATCAATGAGGTTCTTCTGACCAGAATAGAACTAGATGCAAGTCAAAATATAATATTATGGATCTCCAGGTGAGCAAACAAGATGGCGATAGCTTAATCCAAAGGCTTCCTGACTAATGTTAGAAAAAGTTTTCTTCCTCCAAGTAGCTACAGAATATATATCACGTTAAAGAATGACAAAATGCCTGACGCGAAACACTTAATGGGTTTTTAATCTCACCCACTGATATTGTCAGACATTGCTCCACTCACACACTCAACACAAACTTTCAAAAGAACAACTAAATCTCAGCCTTTACTTTCCTGTGATTCACAGCAGAACTGATAACAGTGGGTGATTGTTGTTAATCGCACACATGCAGAAAATAATGGCAAAATGGTCCTATTGAAAATATTTGACATGAATATTGGACAATTTGGAAGATTAACTGCAATACCCCGGAGCCTACAAGGCTGTAGCAGGTCCACATCTGGGCATGTCTGACCATATCTCAGTGGAGCTGATTCCTGTCTACAAGCCTCTGGCCTGCAGAACTAAGCCGACCACCAGAACAGTTCAGGTCTGGACTGAGGAGGCCTCCTCTGCACTTCAGGACTGCTTTGAGCACACAGACTGGAGTGTGTTCAGGGACGGAGCAGACTTGGAGGAATACTCATCGTCCGTTCTGTCCTATGTTCAGTTCTGCACCGACGCTGTCCTCCCTGTTAAGACCATAAAAGTGTTTCCAAACCAGAAACCATGGCTGGACAGCACAGTACGGGCCCTGCTGAAAGCCCGGGATGCTGCCTACAGATCTGGAGACAGGTTGGCTTATAGCAGGGCCCGGTCGGAACTGAAAAAAGAAATTAAGCAGGCCAAGCTCCAGTACAAACAGCGGATTGAGGAACACTTCACCAACAACGACCCCAGTAGCATGTGGAGAGGCATCAGGACCATGACGGACTACAAACACAGCACTCAGCTGACCAGCCGCGACCCCACCCTGCCTGACATCTTAAACAGCTTCTTTGCCCGCTTTGACACAGTGGGCAGCAGAGAAGCTGTACATCTACCCCGACTGGAAGAGCAGTACCAGCCTCTCGTCCTGCAGCAGCACCAGGTGACGTCCACCCTGAGGAGGATCAACACCCGCAAAGCTACAGGACCGGACAAGGTGTCAGGCCAGACGCTGAAAACGTGCGCCGACCAGCTGGCAGGAGTGTTTCTGGACATTTTCAATCTGTCCCTACAGTTCACCATGGTTCCTGAGTGTCTCAAGTCTTCCACCATCATCCCTGTACCGAAGAAGACGACCATCACCAGCCTGAACGATTACCGGCCCATCGCTCTGACCCCGGTGATCATGAAGTGCTTTGAGAGGATTCTTCTGAGGTACATCAGACACTTCATCCCTGCAGACCTGGACAGCCTTCAGTTCGCCTACAGAGCGAACCGGTCAACAGAGGATGCTGTCTCCATCACTCTGCACACAGCCCTGACCAATCTGCAGCATCCCAACGCTTACATCAGGATGCTATTTGTAGACTTCAGCTCAGCATTTAACACCGTCATCCCAGACAAGCTGGTGCTGAAGCTACTCCAGGTGGGGCTGCCTGCTTCACTGTGCCACTGGATCAGAGACTTCCTCACCAACAGGCCTCAGGTGGTGAGAATAGGTGGCTCAACATCGTCCCCACTGGTCCTCAACACAGGCACGCCACAGGGCTGTGTTCTCAGCCCAGCTCTCTTCACCCTGTTTACACACGACTGCGTTGCCATCCACCCCACCAACACAGTCGTCAAGTTCGCGGACGACACAACAGTAGTGGGTCTCATTTCAGACAACAACGAGACCCACTACAGAGAGGAGATTCTGCAGCTCACGCAGTGGTGTTCAGCCAATAACTTGGTACTGAACACAGGGAAGACCAAGGAGGTCATTGTGGACTACAGAAGGTCCAGGAGGACGGGTCACACTCCCCTTCTCATAGATGGAGAAGAGGTAGAGCGTGTGGACAACATCAAGTTCCTGGGCCTCCACATCACGTCTGACCTCTCCTGGAATACCAACACCTCCCACCTGGTGAAGAAAGCACAACAAAGGCTCTTCTTCCTCAGGAAACTGAGACGGGCTGGACTTTCCTCACGGCTGCTCCTGAACTTTTACAGGGCGACGATCGAGAGCGTCCTCTGCCTCAACGTGACTGTGTGGTATGGTGGCTGCACAGCACTGGAGAGGAAACAACTGACACGGGTGGTGAGAACAGCACAAGGCATTGTGGGATGCCCCCTCCCGGACCTGGACTCTATTTACATAGGCCGGCTCAAGAAGAGAGCTGGATCCATAGCCATGGATTCCAGCCACCCGGGCCACAGACTGTTTGTGCCGCTGCCATCAGGCAAGCGGTACAGGAATATACGGACTACAACAAACAGACTGAGAAAAAGTTTCTTTCCCACAGCCGTCAGAGCCATTACTCCCTGCCGCCTCCTCCCACACATATCATAACCCCCACCCCCACTGTCACATCATCTACACTTTACCATAATTGGACCTGCTGCTTCTTCTTTGGCATGGTTGAGTGCCTTTAGTTAATTTTAGATGTATATATTGTTATTATTATTGTGTGTTTGTTTATTTTATTTATGGTATATATTTGACTTTTTGCACAGGAGTTGCAATAGAAATTTTGTTGAATCCTGTTCAATGACAATAAATTATATCTATCTATCTAAATATCAAAGGTGAAAATGATATAATTATTTAAAGGGTTTATTTAATACACAATTATTAAATATGTCATTACATTATTAAAATAGAAACTTATTAGCCAGTCAAGACAATTATTAAATATGCTTTTGATTGCTCTGTTCATTATTATCATCGCCTGGTTCCAGTTCCTGCAGTGTCACCATAAAATAATTCCCAATCAAAGTGGAGGGCGGGGCTGTGGGCGGGGCTAACACTGACCTTTAACATAAATTTGAGCCGTTATTCTGTCAGAATAGCTGACATGCATTGAGTACAAATGCGCATTAAGAGGTGCTGTCAGTTCAGCATCTGTGACAAGATACAAGAGAAAGTCAATAAATAGATTTATTGATGATGGATTGATATAAATGCATTGTCATGGTTTCACAGTGTAATTGACTGCAGTCCACTATGAAACCTGCCTCCTGTTCCTTGATGATGGTCTGACTGGTTAACCGCCAAGTCAGGATGTCATACAGCTGTTGACTAATTTTATGACTATCTCTCTTCTATGTCATGATGTTATGTTGCTGATTTAATACAAGCAGGTTTTCACCAGAGAAATCCTTTTCACCTGTGAGAATCTTCATGTGATAAATCAACTATTCTTTTCACTGAAACTTTTTCCACATGTTGAAAATGTGAAAGACTTCTTGTGTGATCAAGCAACCATTTAGAGAGAAGGTTTTATCATAAACTTTACAAGAATATAACTTTTGGACTCTGTGAATTTTCAAGAGCCTTTTTTGGTTTGAACAATCAGTTTTACCTTTCTGGCATCTTTTGTTGTGTTTTTGTTTTTCGTCTTTCTGTTTTCCTGGATCTTCAGAATTGCTTCCTTCCTGATCCTGGTTCTCATCCTCAGCAGAGCCATGAGAGATGAGTTGGTTCCTCTGTGGTTCTGTTTCATTGTAGATTCTTTGCACATTTAGAGGATTCACCAAAATGTCGTCAGTCTCCAGTTTCAGCACCAGATGCTCTTCATCCTGACTGATGCAGAGTTGCTTCTCTTCCTCTTTCAACTCTTGATGTTCTGGTTCCTCTTGTTCCTGTTTTATCTGCAGAGGTTCTGGTTCCTCTTGATCCAGTTTCATCTGCAGAGGTTCTGGTTCCTCTTGCTCCTGTTTTATCTGCAGAGGTTCTGGTTCTTCTTTATCTGAAGTGGACTTCCTCTCCTGGATGCTGAATTTATTTAGATCCTCCTCCTCTTGACACACCCAGCACTGTGGCAGATCTGGACAAAAACACAAAACAAAAACTTTTAAATGTGAGTGAAAGAATGATAGGACAGCACGACAGCCTTTACCGCTGTGGACTTTGCAGCCCTCGGACGGCGGAGCGAGTTGCCCTTTTGGAGCTTTATTTGGTGTTTGTAATATATTCATGTTTTATGTGTTTTTTCTTTAGTTTTCACGGTGACTCAAAACTGGTTTGAACCAAGTAAAAGTGAACATACTGCATCCGTCGAGGCTCTCCGTGTTTTTCTTTGGTCTGAGGGACTGCTACACTATGGATCTCCAGGCGAGAAAACAAGATGGCGATAATTAAACCAAGTGGCTCCACGACAAAAAAAGTTTAAACAGCAGTTTGCTTTAGTCCTGTTCTTATACATAATTCTAAGATGAAAACATTTAATGCGTAGAGCAGCTTGTTTTCTAATGCACATCAAAAAAGAAAATGAACATTTAAACCCTATAAGTTGGGATCGCCACCATCGCTGTATTTATTAGGAATTCTAAATTGACATTAGTATCCAAAAAAGACCAGCGGCATCCATCTAACCCATTTACTAACAACCTTGACCCTAGTGGGGTCAGGAGGTGCTGGGGTCACCCTGGACAGGTCGCCAGTCTGTCGCAGGGCGACTCAGAGACAGTGCAATAATATTAGCCTGCATGATCTTTTCCTCTCAGGTTAGGGCTCTGCTTTGCTGCACAAGCATCAGCCTTTTCCCTCCAATAAGCTTCTAGCTATTTTTATTACTTATTAGCCATGTTTAGGACCCTGAATGCAGGAAGTCAATGTAAGACAACATTGTAATGATGCCCCACATGCTACTAGCAGCATTTAGGCTAACATTAGCATTTTGGCTCATTTTAGATTATACACTAATTTTAACAAACTGAATGGAGGAAGTCCATATTAGTCAACATGCTTGTGACTTTCCACAGGCTATTGACTACAATTTAGCTTAGCTTAGCATTGATGCTAATTGTTAGCATCAGAGCGCTGGGTCCAAACTGAAACCACACTTTAGCAGACCCCGGTTACATTTCTCCAGGGATTTTCTATTTTTACTTAATTTGAGCGGATTCTTTAAATATGTTTCCGAAAACAACGATTATTTATCTGTAAAAACTCTCTTTAACCTGACTAATCAGTAAACCGTGAAGCTGTTTCGTACCTATCCGCTGCAAGATGATCTTGGGTATCCGGGTAAAATCCATCAGTCTGCGCTGATCGTCCATCTCTTCCTCCATCTTAACGTTGATTTCTTTCCACTCTGTGAATGTTTCTTCAGCAGGAGTTTCCTGCTGCTTGATAAACTCTCTGAGGCTGAACTGAAGACATTTTCACTGAAAACACGGAAATATTTACCGAAAACACCAAACCTGTTTTCAAACCGTCTAACAAAAGAACAGCTAATGCTCCCTCGTGCGCTCTGAGATGGTTCCTGTGTTTCACTTTTATTGCACTGAAGAAACTGTAAACAATTTTTAGTTCCGCTTTGCATTTTTCACTTTGAGTTTCCTCTCAACTGTTATATTACACATTTTACAACATTAACAAAGGTTCTTATATTTCAGTGAGTGAATCATTATTTTAAAGTAATTACACACAAACGGGACTTTTACAAGCCTTTAATCTCTGTTTATTTTGAAAAATTTTCTCAGCTAATGGAAACAGCATTGGATTAAAATAATAATTTTCAAGAATCCCAAAAAAGTGGGCTTGGAGCCAGTTATCATAAGGTACTTTTGATTGTACAAACGGGCCATATTTGAAGGTATTTTCTTATTTCTTGTGTGTAATTTTTAGCTTGTCACACAGTCTATTGTTATATCAGCAATTTAAATAGCCAAATAATAATAAACTGCCTTTACCTTCTCTACAGTAAAACAGCTGATGGAGTTCTGTACATCCTCTCTAAGAGCAAGTTTCCTGCAACAATAAAGTGGAGGCATCAGAAATAATTGTAAACCCAGCGCACGCTGCATGTTGAACAAACCTCTAGATGAATCAGACTGAGCTCTGATCCCCTCCACGATCATCCTGCTTTTAAATGTAAATGCTGATTACCAGTCTCCCTAATAAACCAACGTCTCCCCTACATGGGCAAGCGGAAGAGTGCGCAGCACCATACTTCATGGACAAGATGCCCCGGCTACACAATATATGTACAACCTGAGCAGGCAATGTTATTAATCATTCATTTAAAATCAGACAAAAGGGAAAATGGAACCAGACACATAAAATAAGCAAGGAAAACACTGAGACACTTGATCTGGCAGGACTCATGTCTTTATCATCTATGTTACAACATGTACCACACTAATCTGGTTCTGTCCAGATTCTTTGATTTTCCAGACTCGATATGTCAGGAACCTTTCAGGCGATCAGAACTTGACTGGTTCAGAAAAACTGGTGATGAGTTTCTGTTGAATGATTCACCTCCAGCAGCATCAACCACACATCATGTCTCCACCTGCAGGCCTGACAGATACGCAACTTTATGCTGCCACCTACTGACAAGAGCCTGATACTACAACTACATTGTTTCAGCTCAAACAGCTGTTGTAGAAATCACTGACTCAGCCATTTTTATAACTGTGAGAAATAAGAATCAAATTTGAGTTTATTAATTTGGATGGCAAAACCAGAAAAATCCTGTATTTAATGTTCTTAAACTTGAAGATGTTTTTCCTTCAGTGGTTCTTGATCTACATCAGATCAGAAAGAGGGAAACTCATTTGACTGAGGTCAACAAAACTAAAAGATCAGAAATCCAAAGCTCTTAACTGCAGAAGACATTATGTGAGTTGACTAACTTATGAATATTTGACATTTTTTAAAATATCCTTGTAATGCAAAAGAGATTTCTGGTTTGCTTTTGTGTCACATTACAGTGTTGCAGATCGTCTGCAGTGTTTTCTCTGGTTACAGTAACTGAAAGGTGTAAAAAAGGTCCATGTAGTTTCTGACAATGCAGAATTAATAACTAATGAAAACATTACATTTGAGATTAGAATAATAAATCAGTTATGAAAAATACTTTAATTTTGGAATATTTAATGAATGTGACCTTTTTTAAAATGTCTTGAATTTTAATATTTAAGAAAAAATCTCAATTTGTGTAAAAGAACTCATGTTTTACCGTTATTGCAAGCATCTTTAAATGCTTTACTTAAAGCTGACATTTAAAAATAATAACGATGACAAACACTGAATAATCCATCAATATTTATTCAAATCAACATTTATTAAAAAGCATATTCTGCTCAAAATACTGGTACACTTTTTAACATTCATTTTTAATGATATACTTTGCTTCTCATACCAAAGTAAAACAATGACAAAAAAAGTAAAATTATAAATCTGTTTGTGGTTAACTCTAAATCAAAACCTGACCAGATCAAAATTTTTTTTGAGATTTTATTCAAACATCAGTTTTATTCATAAAAAAACAAGATTTCACTGCTTTCATTTCTAAAGTATTTTAAAATCAGTCAGACACAAAAATGTAAAAGCTAAACTAAATTATTCTACATGCTACAGAACAAAACAAAAACCCGCAGAAATGAATCCTGTCTGAATGTGATCCCTCTTTAACTTCACTATCTAATGGGGATCTTAAGCACAAATACGACTGAGAACTAAAACAAAAAACTGGAAGAAAAACAAGCTGATAGCAGAAATCAGACCTCAGGTTTATCATGGCTGGACAATGAAAGTCACAGTGAATCACTAGCAGCCTGCAAGAATTTGTTTTCTACTTGCTGTTTACATTATCCAACCAGATTTTCCATTGGATTGGACACAAAAAACGGATCGGATCTGTTTCCTTCCAAAAGTTTCCAGTATGAGAGTCTTTATGTGACAAGTTAAATTTCTTCTGTCATTGTAAGTCTTTCCACGGATTCCAGAGGAAAAAAGCTTCTCACCTGTGTGACCTCATGTGAACTTTTAAATTACATTTTTGAGAGAAACTCTTTCCACATGTCCCACAAAAGAAAGGCTTCTCACCCGTATGAAATCTCATGTGAACATTTAAACAACCTTTATGAGAGAAACTCTTTCCACAGGTCCCACAAGAGAAAGGCTTCTCACCAGTGTGAATTCTCATGTGATAACTTAACCCGGCTTTATGGGTGAAACTCTTTCCACAAGTCCCACAAGAGAAAGGCTTCTCACCAGTGTGAATTCTCATGTGATAACTTAACCCGTCTCTATGGATGAAACTCTTTCCACAAGTCCCACAAGAGAAAGGCTTCTCACCAGTGTGAATTCTCATGTGATAACTTAACCCGGCTTTATGGGTGTAACTCTTTCCACAAGTCCCACAAGAAAAAGGCTTCTCACCAGTGTGAATTCTCATGTGAACTTTTAAATGACCTTTTTGAGAGAAACTTTTTCCACAAGTCCCACAAGAGAAAGGCTTCTCACCAGTGTGAATTCTCATGTGAACATTTAAATGACATTTTTCAGAAACTCTTTCCACAGCTCCCACAAGAGAAAGGCTTCTCGCCTGTGTGAATTCTCATGTGAACATTTAAATGACATTTTTCAGAGAAATTCTTTCCACAGCTCCCACAAGAGAAAGGCTTCTCGCCTGTGTGAATTTTCATGTGAGCATTTAAATGACCCTTTTGAGAGAAACTCTTTCCACAAAACCCACAACAGAAAGGCCTCTCACCTGTGTGAATTCTCATGTGCGTCTTCATACTATCCTTTCGAGAAAAAGTTTTATCACAAAGTTTACAAGAATATAATTTTTGCCCTGGATGAGCTTTCTTGTGCGTGATTTTTTCTTCAGTGTCAGTTCTGTCTTTCTGCTGTTTGGTTTTCTCATATTTCTTCTTTTGTTTCTGTTCTTCCTTTCTTTTTTTCCTGGGTCTTCAGAATTGCTTCCTTCCTGATTCCGGTTCTCAGTTTCTGGAGAGCCATGAGAGATGAGTTGGTTCCTCTGTGGTTCTGTTTCATTGAGAACCTCCTCCTCTTTACACACACAACATTGTGGGAGATCTGGACAAAAAGACAAAACAAAAGCTTTTAAATTTCAATCAAACAAATTATCCTTCACTTTTATTATCTTCACCCATCCATCCATCCATCCATTTTCTTCCACTTATCCGGGGTCAGGTCACGGGGATAGCAGCTTCAGAAGGGAGGCCCAGACTTCCCTCTCCCCATCCACTTCTTCCAGCTCCTCCAGGGGAACCCCGGGGCGTTTCCAGGCCAGTCGGGAGACATAGTCCCTCCAGCGTGTCCTGGGTCTTCCCCGGGGCCTCCTCCCAGTGGGACGTGCCCGGAACACCTCACCAGGGAGGCGTCCAGGAAGCATCCTGACCAGATACCCGAGCCACTTCAGCTGGCTCCTCTCGTTGTGGAGGAGCAGCGACTCTACTCTGAGACCCTCCCAGATGAACGAGCTTCTCTCTCTAAGGGAGAGCCCAGCCAAGACCATGGCCTCGGATTTGGAGGCGCTGATCCTCATCCCGGCTGCTTCACACTCGGCTGTGAACCGCTCCAGCGAGAGCTGCAGATCACGTCCTGATGAAGCCAACAGCACTACATCACGAAGGGCATCCCTGGCAGAGTCCAACCCTCACCGGAAACGACCCCGACTTACTGCTGGAAATGCGGACGAGACACTCACCTGTGTCTCAGCCTGTATCAAAGGGCCCGGTGTCCCATACTGCCGGAGAACACCCCTCAAAGCTTGTCTGCAGAGTTTGGAGAGCCTGACCCAGGCTCATCTTCCTCAATGGAAGGCATGTTGGTGGGATTGAGGAGGTCTTTGAAGTATTCTCCCCACCCGCCCACAATGTCCTGAGTCGAGGTCAGCAACACACCATCCCACTATAAACAGTATTGGTGCTGCACTGCTTCCCTCTCCTGAGACACCGGATGGTGGAACAGAATCGCCTCAAAGCAATGTGGAAGTCTTTCTCCTTGGCCTTTCCAAACTTCTCCACGCCCAAGTTTTCTCCTCGGCAACCACCGAGCCGTATGCCGTTTCGCCCACCAGTACCCATCAGCTGCTTCTGTAATCCCACAAGTCAAAAAGGCCCAATAGGACTCCTTGAACTTGACAGCATCCCTCACCGAAGGGTTGCCACCGTGAGAGGCAAAAAACTTTACGGCCACAGCTCCGATCGGCTGCCTTGGCACAAGAGGCACGGAACATTGTCCACTCACACTCAATGTCCCCCTCTTCCCTCGAAACGTGTTTGAAGTTCTGCCGGAGATGGCAGTTAAAGCTCCGTCTCACAAGGGATTCTACCAGACGTTCCAGCTCACCCTCATAACACGTTTTCCTCGTGTTCCTCCCAACCACACACCTCCAGGTCTCAAAGTCGTTGTCCATGTGAGCGTTGAAGTCCCCCAGCAGAACAAGGGAGTCCGCAGGAGGGTCACTCTCCAGTACCCCTTATAAGGACTCCAAGAAGGGTGGGTAATCTGAATTGTTTATGGCCCGTAAGCACAAACAGTCAGGACCCGGCCCCACACCCATAGACGGAGGGAGGCTACCCTCTCATTCACAGGGGTAAGTCCTGTGAATGAGACCCAATGTACAGGCACTGAGATGGGGAGCAACAAGTATGTCCACTACTGCCCAATGCCTCTCACCGTGGGCAACTCCAGAGTGGAAGTATGTCCAGCCCCTCTCAAGGAGACTGGTTCCAGAACCAGAGCCATGCGTCGAGGTAAGGCCAACTATTTCTAGCCGGAAGCTCTCAACCTCGCACACTAGCTGTGGCTCCTCCCCCACCAGAGAGGTGACATTCCACGTCCCAAGAGCCAGCTTCTGCAACTGAGGATCGGACCGCCAGGGCCCCCTCCCTTGGCCGCCACCCATAACACATTGACACCTTTGGCCCCTCCTACGGGTGGTGGGCCCATGGGAGGGGGGGACCCATGTTTCATCTTCGGACTGAGCCTAGCTGGGCTCCATGGGTAAAAGCCCGGCCACCAGGCGCTCACCTTTGTGACCCCCCCTCCTGGCCTGGCTCCAGAGTGGGCCCTGGTGACTCACGTCAGGGAGAGGGAACAAATTCCAAAGTTGTTATCCATCATCGGGGTCTTCGGGCTGCACTTTGTCTGGTCCCTCACTTAGGACCTGTCTTCCTTGGGGGACCCTACTTGGGGTATAAAGCTGCAGACAGCATAGCTCCGAGGATCATTAGGGCACTCAAACCTCTTCACCGCAATAAGGTGGCAGCCCAAAGAGAGGCTGCCACCTTATCGCTGCCACCTGCATTTAATATCTTGATACATCAAAACAGGATTTCTTCAGTTTTTCTAAAATTACATTCTTACAAGAATGAAAATTAATTCAACCAATGAGGTTCTTCTCACGAGGAAGGAACTAGATGCGAGTCAAAATATGATATCATGGACCTCCAAGTGAGCAAAACAAGATGGCGATAGTTTCACCTGGTGGCTTCCTGACAAATATTACAAAAAGTTTGAAGAGTCGCATAAAATGCCTAACGCAGAACCCCAAATGGCCTTTTAATCTCACCCATTGATATTGTCAGACATTGCTCCGCTCACACACTCAACACAAACCTTCAAAGGCACGACTAAATTTCAGCTTTTACTTTCCTGAGAGATGCAGCAGAATTGGTAACAGTGGGGTGATTGTCGTTAACATGCAGAAGATAATGGCAAAATGATCCTATTGAAAATATTTGACATGAATATTGAACAACGTGGAAGATTAAATATGATAGGTGAAAATAGACAATGATATAAATTTAAGCATTTTATTTAATACTCAATTCATTAAATATGTCACTACATCATTAAAATGGAAACACTCAATCATGATAATTAATAATTAACCATTTAATTGTCTGTTCTTCTTATTATTAATATCACTATTATTTCCTGGTGTCAGTTCCTGCAGTATAACCATGAAATCACCTTTTGATCCTTTATCCAGGAGTCGCAACTTTGTTCACTGAACTTGTTAGTTCAGTAAAGACAAGCAGTGGTTACTGCATTCTAGTGAATTAATAAAAGACACCTGATCTCAGTCTCCTTGTACCATTTCACCACAGTGACTCTTTTACATGTCTATCGCTGTTACTGATGTATAAAAAAATTCTATAATTAATAAACAAATAATGCTCAACCTGCTGGTTTTCCAGACTTATAACACTGGGAAAAACCCTGGGATTCTTTAAAAAAGCAGCATAAATCTTTTCATTTTGAATTAAAAAACATCTATGTTTGCCAACTATAAGCAGTATTTTTCTAATATGTCTCTTAAACTGATTTATATAATCAGTCATTTATTTATTGTTTAATTTGACATAGAAAGCAGCTAAGCAATAGCAAACAGATGGTACACAAAACAATAAAAACTAATTATTTTTAAAATAATCTTTAACCAGTACGAGTAAAGATCAGACTGTCACGGATCACAACTGTAACTTAGACATTATATGATGAATAGTAAACAGTCCAGGTCAAAGTTGATCATTCTAAGTGTTTAGAATGACATGAGATGCGTTTAAGGCACTTTTTAAAGTAAAATTCAACCTCAATAACACCAATAAGCAACTAATTTGAAGAATAAAAGTTAAATTATAGATACAATTTAATATAAAATAGACTTTTACAATTTTTATTCTTTAGGACTAGCAGAGAAGAACCTGCTGGCCCTGGCAGCCTCCACTGAGTATTTAATGTTTATAATGTTTGCGGATTCTTTAAACAGGTTTCAGATGCAGCGATGTTTAACCAGTCTATCAGTAAACAGTGAAGCTGTTTCCTAAGTATTCAGTGTCCAGGTATTTCCTGAAACTGGTCGATAAACAGAAAGGCGGCACGGAAACTGTACTTGTCCTATTATATGATGAATAAATCATAATAGAATAATATTATATGATGACTAATAGATCGCTGTTGATCATTTTTAAGTATTTAATGTTTGCAGCTGCGGAGGATTTATTAGTCTTTTAGTTTGGAGTAAAAGCTCTTTGAGTTCAGCGCTTCTTAACCTCTTTAAAACATCTCCAACTTTATTCAACCTGACTAATCAGTAAACCGTGAAGCTGTTTCGTACCTATCCGCTGCAAGATGATCTTCGGTATTGTGGTGTTACTCATTAATCTGGTTCTGCTCCCATGCGGTGTTTTCGAAGCGCACTGAACTCTGAATAATTGAATATTGAACAATAATGTGACCTTGGGCAGAGCTTTTGTTATGTGTGGAGAAACATAAATCCTCTTTTTACCAGATCACACAGATAAGTTTGTGAAAAATTACCAAAGACACTGTTGCAAAATAAACACAGTTTATAAAGTTCAAAAAGCCTACAGTTCACTCAGAATAAATGACTAAATAATGAATAAATGACTCTGTTGAAACTTGAAACTAATTTTCCAAATGCAACATTAAACATTTTTGCTTCAAATGGGATTTATTATAATGTTTTGCAAACGGTTTTGTCACACAAGAGGCATTTTTCAACAGGCATCCACACAGCCACCTACAATTCAGAAACATCTGCGGCGCGCAAATGTTTCAACCAGTGAATCTGAAACATCGGA